CTTTCATGACATGTATATCATAAAAATAATACGAACTACACGAAACAAATAATAATGAGCCAGACAACAACACCAAATGCCTGGTCTCAAACTAGGGAATTCCCTATATTATGAGTATAATAAGTAACATTTACAACGGTGCACTACCCGGAAGACCCAGAGCAGAACCCATGCAATATAGTTCATTTCCCAAATCAGTCATACCTGGAATCGAATCTAAGACCTACGCATCTAGCATCCACAGTTCAAACCGTTAGGCCACCGAGGTTGTCGTATACAAATCATGTAAATGTGAAATTTTATAACACTCCTTTTTAAAAACATCTTTAAACGTCTCCTCCGTAAAGTTGTCATTTTGCAGATGAGACCTTATCACCGCAAGGGTGCAAATTATTTCCAAGATAATGTAAAATATTTAACATTTTTTGTACACAAGTTCAAAGATCAGGTAATTTTGTTGTTTTCTTTTTAAGTCACTAATACATTGTCACTAAAATCGGTTCGCTGAAAGGAAACGACTCTAAAACGAGATTAAAGTGACAAAGATAATTTAACTTGCCTGCGTCACCCACTCAACCGGTTGCAGTGCCCCTCAATGGTCCTTGATTGTGTCAGTTGATATGTAAATTGGCCTAAACAATAACAAAATCTGCTTATTCGTTTTAAGAGCAGATAACTAACATCCGGGCTCAGTTGTCAATGCACGTGAGGACAGTCGCGTGTGTCGCCGACACAGCAGAAACGTGGGGGCTGTCGGAAGCCCGCACAGTCGTTAGTCCCGACAACAATCTGAACTACATTTCGTCTCGTCATTGCGTACGTGGATAGGTTGGTTCCAACGATGTTGTCGGGGATATAGAGCATTGCGAAATAGCTGCACGAATTAACGTCGTATGCGAGTACGCAGCGAGAGTCGACTACCCAGCAGGAGGAGTCTGTTTAGTGGCGCTTGAGCCACCGAGACTGATGGCCGTCACGTGGATTACCGTGATCGCGCTCGCCGCCACCGCGCTTGGAGCCTCGGTCCTAAGTAAGTCGTTCTTACATATTTTCTTAAAGAAATATTTTTTAAAATTTAATAGGTATTTTATGATAAGAGACGAAAATTCGTATACCATTATTATTTTTGCTTTATCTATAAAACTTCCGTGAATAGAACTAAAACATAGACTACGTAGGAAACTTTTGTTATGAATTATCATAACAAAAGTTTCCTACGTAGTCTATGTTTATGTATTTAAAGACCATCTTATTGTTTCTAAAAGTACGCTCAACTTATTTGCACGTCCCTTAGAACCTTTACCGTAAATATGTATTCATATTATGATTTATTTCACGTTGATTTCAAGCAAAAAATATATATCGTTGCGAGGTAAACAGTGACGTTTGTTTTTGTTAAATACGTACGATCTCAGATTACAATTGTTTTATTTGTAATCTGAGCGTAGGATTTTAAATGTACAAAAAGAAAAAGAATAGGATTCCAGCTAATATATTAAAAACACTACCTATATACAGTGTGTATACACTCGCCTAACGCAGAGTTCGGCTTTCGACATAGCGACTATTGCGATTTTTGTGTAATACTTCTTAAATTAAAAACTAGGTAACCTTGTAGCTTCATACGAAGTATAAAAAACAATGTAGTGAATAGGTAAGTCTATTTAAAACAGTTTTATTGCATTAAGTTCCTCATTAATATGCAAATTCTTTATAAGTAATCCTTTAAATTCGACATTATGGTCACAGGAAATCAATAATTTTAATAGTTATTATTTAACTGTCTTAAGACCAAACAAGTGACACTATGATTTTTTATAACATCAAGTGACGGGACGATCAAATCGTGCGTCTGATTCGTAAACTACACGCCTGTCCATAACAGTTACAGTGACACTCAGAGCTTTAAATTGCAAAGATCTCCCGTCATCCTGAGACGTAAGTTGACAAGTCCCATGTGTCTGTAATTTCACCAGCACCCTTACCCTTCAAAACCGGAACACAGTAATGCTGACATAGGTAAGGTAGCAGTACTACCCTGGACGAACTCTTTCACAAGGACTTCTACTGCTACTAAATATTGCTACTTTATGGTGAACACCTAAATTATTTATCACTTTCTTCTTTATAGTCAAAGGTCTAAGATAAACTTAGCCATTTCAATCACAATTCGTGTTCAAAATTGACAGCATGCTCTGGTGTACCTCAAGGTGCTACTTTAATACCCTTTAGTTACGTAACTTTCTGAAATTAAACAGAATGCTTATTTCGACGTTAGCAAAGATTTATATTTGTTCTGTAGCTTTAAAAGCATTCTTAATTTTTCATATCTTCTATATTATTTGTTAAGTATACTAACTAGTATAATATCTCAAGTTGGTACCTATATTACAGAATTCTGAATAAAATAAATGCACTGAAATAAGATTAAAAAAAATGTAGGCCTGTTTTTTCATGCAATTAATCTCTAAAGATAACGTGCAACCGTATTTTTTTATTTACTCTCCTGGTATATCAGTACAAAATGAGGTCTACACGCCTAGGCAGTATTTTGTACCCACTTTAATGTGGCTTATAAATATAACCATTTCTTCTTCATTGCAAATTAATATTTGGATCATAAGCTGTACCAAGAAATGCAAACTTTTTATGCATTACAATACTTACGTTCATGTAGCCTTATGCACCTGACTACTAGCCATGTGACTATAGGTACTATCACTTTATCTGAAGTTAGATAATAGGTACCAGATTTAATTACAGTCCAGGCTTAGAAAGGCACATATCGTGATAAATGTGATATAAGACCCTAGATTAAACACACAACAGACTGACAGACATAACATTCGTTAAGACTCTTTTGTAACAATAATAACTTTGTATAATGAATGGTTTCCGTAAAACGAAAAGTAATATTTAATTTAAAACATAATCTAAGGATCAATTTTTTGTTTGGTACGTTTGCAAAATTTTATAGAGAGTTAGCTACGTACGTCAGGAATGACTGTGACTAAATAATGTGAAACAGGTGACAGCGTCTTAGTATATATATATATATAATAAACTAATATTATAAATGCGAAAGTAACTTTGTCTGTTACATTTTCACGTCTAAACCGCTGAACCAATTTTAATGAATTTGGTATAGAGATAGATGGGACCTAGGAGAATGACATGGCCTACTTTTTGTTAAAAACATAAATCTTAAAGGGGTGAAATATTGGTTGGAAGTTTGTTTGGAAAACCCTATTGTTTTGTAATCTGAGGGAAATCCAATAAAACTTTGCAAATTAGCATAGTGCAGTGGACTACTCAAAGTACTAATTCTACGCGGATGAAGTCGCAGGCACCACTTAGTGTACACATATTTATGTAAAATAAAAATTGTATTGTGTCTGAAATAAGTTAGATCTGATATGTAATCGATTTGTACGAAAAAGATATTTTTTTATCACCATGATTTGAAAAAAAGAGAGATGTTCGGTATAATGGGTGTCCACGAAATTCTGTTCAAGAATGAAATAGAACCATTTATTTCATATTAAATTTAAATCAAATAAAAATAAAATTTTAATTTTATAAAACATTTCGTCGCTTGTAACAATTTTCAGATTTGCGAGTAGGTGTTCGTCAAGATTTATTCACAACTTGTTTCCAAAAGGTAAAGCTGCCATTTTGAACTTCATTTACAGCATTGTTTTCTAGGTACAAGTTTAGGACTCACTCGAGTTTTACGGAAAATGGCGAATATAACATTGAATTAATTGTGTACTTATGGTTCATTGGTTACATGTTCTGATACCGACATACACATATTTTTCTGAGAAACATCAGATAATCCAAATATAGAATATAACCGCATAACCTTATATCTAAAACAATATAATATTATTCAATTTGTACTAAATTTAATTTGAAATTTACCATGATCTTATATAAAAAAATATAAAAAATTTCCTTCACGGAAAAGCTCAACCTGCACGTCGAGAAAACGTGTAGTCCCCAACCCGACCTACACCTGAGAGGAGACCCGTGCCCATCAGTGGGACGAATAAATGGGTTGATGGCGATAATTATTATTATTAGACCATGCTCATTGATTGATAATACCAGAGTATAATCGTCAGTTGTAAATCATACACATTATAAAAAATCATTTAAAACAATAATATTTTACCTTTAAAAAAATATTAGAACTGCTATTGTGAGTAATGGTTAAAAAGTGTTACAATGAATCTATTGTAGGAGTACAGCCGTATAATATAATAGTGTGACTTCTGCAAATAACCATCGTACATAATGTTTACACGTTTGTTATGGTCACGAACAAAGATATGAAATATATTTAAATAAATAAAAATATAGATAACACACAATGGTAACAAAACACGGAATAGCATGCTACCACTTACATAACGCAATATTGCGTGCTCCTCATCGTGTTTACCAATTGCGAATATACGTACGCCGCCGGAATTGAACTAGAGGGTCATCAATATTTTCTTTGTATGGAAGTCATGTCAAGCGCAAAGATAAGGTTCACTTGTATGAAAATTAGTGTTAATTTAAAATTAATTAAACTAATTTTAAAAGATAATAACGTGGACATAACGCTCATTTAATACACACACATCAAAAGTGTCTAGGGATGAAGGTATTTTCATAATTAAATTACCCAATTAAAATAATTTAAAAAATTAAAAATATGTATATAAATTATTTATTTATTTTTTAAATTATGAAACTGATCACAAAACATTGGTGTTAAAAGAAATATAATTAAATAACCTCATATTCGGTAATTGGCAAAAACGTGCTTGATCCCTATACACTTTTGACGTGTGTAATTCTCGCTTGGATTAAAATTCTCTTCCCATAACCTAATTTTATATAATTCTCGATTGTAATAATATTCATATTTTATATAAAGCAACTGAAAACTTCAGTGCTAAAAGTAGAACACACAATTAAAAGGAGACCATAATAATATAATTGGGGGTATATAACATAATAATATAACCTCTACTCCTGAGAAGGAGGCGCTCGAGTGCGTATTTGAACCGAAGATCTCTGACAAATATTCACACGTACTGCGCAATAAATTTTTAAGCGCCATCAAGTGGAACACAACCACAAATCTGGCAAAAAGGCCTCATCGTACTGCAATTTTATATTGGAATTACCAGCAGATATAAGAAGCATGATCATTCAACAGGAGCGAGTGCTTATTAACTGGACATCCTGCCCTGACCGTCAGGAACTTCACGGTCGTAACCAGATGTTCCAATGTCACCAGTATTGACATTCCGCAAAGTATTCGAAACACCGATTCCACTTGTGGTTATTGCGGCTGCTAGGGTCATACAATTCAAGATTGCTCGAAACTGCAAGATCCACCTAAGTGCGGTTCCTATCAGCGGTACAACAAGCCCAGCCAACACAGGACGAGATGCTGTGCCCAGCAAGAAAAAATTCTAAAGCCATATATTTAAGTTCCATCGACTATGAGGACGTCTAAAGCACCTAACAGCAAAACATTATATAACAAAGGAAATGTTAATGTAACAAACGATTTTGTAGTTGACTTAGATTCTTCCTTATAACAATGTAAGAAAACCATACAAGACCGTTGTTACATAATACGTAATATTAATAATAGTTAATATGCTAGCTAATGTAATAAAGTATTCATGTTTTATTATAATTAATTGTTGTTGAATAAAATATGTTAACTAATCATTAAGCTATAATCGATTTAGATACCTAAGATACAAGTAAATAATTTTACTTAGTTTAGGTATCACCTAGATTAACTGGCACTACTAACATTAATTCAATTCATATACAAACATACAACCATTTCACTGTTTGCAATAGTCTGCGCATATATGTAAATAAAAGGTTTCATGTATTTAGGTCAAGTTTTTATACAGAAGAAATTTATCTTATCTTATATTAACGTTAGGTTAAAAATATTTATGTGATATATTTATTACACATACCCAAAGACAATTCAGTCTACCACTGATATTATGATGATAATGCTATGGTATACTGAAATTCCTTGTTTATATATATTTTTAATACAAGAAATAATTACTAAAATACATTAAACATAAATAAAACACATAAAATACTAAATACATAAATAAAATGCTGAATGTTCAATAACTGATAATACACAGCATTGTAAGTGAAATTTTTTTTGCTCAAGTTTCTGATCTCTTCGTAAACCTCCAAGTTTTATTAATAAGCTATTATCTTTACCTTATAATAAGACGGGTAATTTTCAGGCTAGTTTTCTCTAATTTCGGTGGTAATTTAACCTATTCGAGTATATTATCGTGAAGTTTTAAGTAATATTTTGGGATACTACACTCGAATATTAAGCATTATTTCATGATAAGTAATCATCATCAACCCTAAATATATGTCATTCATACATGTGTCATACATAAATATATGTCCCACTGCTGGGCACGGGTCTCCTTTCAGATGAGGGTTTAGGCCATTGTCCACCAAGCTGGCCCAAAGCAGGTTGGGGACTTCACACGTTTTCCGAGGGTTATGAACCTTCTTCAACGTGCAGGTTTCATAACGATATTTTCTTTCACCGAAAAGCTCATGATAAATTTCATATTAAATTTCGCACATAAATTCCGAGAAACTCAGAGGTGCGAGCCCGGATTCGAACCCACGACCTTCTGCTTGAGAGGTAGTAGGTCAAACCATTAGTCTACCACGGCTTTTATGTTATGATAACACGGTTATTTTATGCTATGATAAGTAATATTCTAGAATATTTAAATAATAAAACTTGCCACCAAAATTAGATAGAAAAACCTAATCTGGAAATTACCGAGATACACAATTAAAACTATCACTTAATCATCTACGTTGAGGTTTTATGCTATATTTTCTGTGAAAATCAGTGATTTGTAAGTGAGATATAACATGTTTTTACCGAGATTGGAAATCACACTCTCGAATGGTTTGTTTTTACTAAATTACTACTTTCACTACATGGTAGTTCTATTTACGAATCCTAAAACCCAATTTCTAAATATTGTAACAATAATAATAATAATGTAATAAACGTGGTAGACATCACACCAATAACCAGGTCCCAAACTAGGGAATCCCCTGTACTATGAGTACCAGAACAACGGAAATCACTCCGGGATCGGGTAGTGTCCCAACACTCAGACCGGAACCAATTTAGAAAAGTACATTTTCCAAATTGGTCCTACCGGGAATCGATCCTGAGATCTTCTCATCGAGCATTCACAGTGTAAAACGGGCCGCCGAGGTCGTCAAATATTACTCTGTTATTATGATGATTTTACATAGTAAGTGACGGGACAGACAAGTCTGTTGGTAAGCGATACGTCTGTCCATAGCAGTTGCAGTGCCACTCAGAAGTTTAAAAAAAAGACACTGCCACTGCGTCCGTCACCCTGAGACAAAGTTGACAAGTCCCTAATGCCTGTAGTTTCACCAGCACCCTTATCCTTCAAAACTGGAACACGGCTACTGCGTCCGTCACCCCAAGACATAATTTGACAAGTCTCATGTGCCTGTAATTTCACCAGCACCCTCACCCTTCAAATCCGGAACGCTGTAATGCTTGACGGCAAAAATTGGTAAAGTGGCAGTATTTCCCTGGACGAACTGCTTCACAAGGAGCTTTAATGCTACGAAATATTATAAGCCATTCGCAATAATAAATAATATGCATGCACTAGGTTACAGTACCTACAGGTACAAAATCAGTCAGTTCAAATTTCCTACAGCATTTTTTATAAAATTTTGCATTATTTAAAAAAAAAATAGAGTTTTCAGTAGCACGGTAGTTCCTTTATTGTCATTCTTTCATATTTTTCAGTGTCAATCATCCCGCACAATGCACCACCATCGGATTCAATTATAAAATCCAATCGCAATATAAGGACGCTCAAACGTGTATGTACGTACGATACGGTGATTGGGAAAGCTTAGGGTGGAGGGACAATGGTACTAATAACATATAAATTTGTCAAACAATCATATATAAATGACCTAACCTGAAATAAATTCGGTGTAATATGAATAACAGAGCAATTCTGATAGCTCTACTCGGAACAAACACTAGAAATAGCCGTACTTGTTGTTCCTGTTACCGTAAAACAGTTTACAATATTACATTTCTAATTTTAATGGAAATTGCTAAAAAATATCTCCTTATATTTACAATTAGTGGTGGTTGATATTATAAAGAAAATATTGGATTTTGACAACATGAACATAAAAATTGCACTCCAAATGGTTACGGTAGCACAATATTTTTATTTGTATATGGTTTCTTCCAGCATCAACCAGGTGAGGTCATAACTAATGACGTTCTTTAGTACCACCTTTAACCTCGGAGCTTTAAATCCAAGTCTTTGCCTACACATAAGTCTCAAAAATATAGATCCGTTTTACGTCTCATTTTGATCTGAAATAAGAGCAATGAATTCATTTGAAATGTTTCTTGTTTACGTCTTCTAATACAACAAGTTGTTGACGAATAATGTTCTACAGTTAGTACCACAGAAATCTAATATTTTAGATATCTGTAATTAGTACTTAATATTCATGCAATAATAGAAATTCATATTAACAACCTATTGTAGTCGATTTTAATTTCTATGGTTAGTATTTAATAATCATACAATAATAAAAATTGTTATAAAAACCTATTGTATACGATTTTATGCAAACACTTAGAATAGTAATACTTACTTGTATAAAAAAACTTGATAAATATTGTCAATTTATTTTTTAATACTAGGTTATGGAAAAAACATCGAAAGTTGGGAAAGCGCCATCCACGGTATGGTGAAGGCGCTAGTTCGATCGAATGAATTTTCCCTGTGTTCGTATTGATAATTATAACATTGGAAAATTAAATAAATGTACAAAAAATGGCAAAAATCATAATTCTGTTGCACGTTTATTTTATTTTTACAATGAACTGTGCATCTTAAGACGCTACATTTTTCCAATTCCACTCACGAAATCAACACTCCCATTGAAGAAAAGTTATATCTTAGAAGTATGTCAAACAGTTACGCTAACTTGTTTTTTTTTTTGCACTTTTTTGCGACGCAACATAATGTGAAGTTTCCATCATTACGTAAATGGAGACTCGAGACAACGAGTGTATGTTAAACATTAGTATTGCGCGGAAATCGCACGTTGGCTAGAGCCTAGCGATAAAATCCTTTATATTCTAAAAGTGGCTGCAAAGGCATAGTTTATATTCATTGACATTCAAGACACAGTTGTAATGTTTTGTTTTGTATAAAATACATGCTGTATATCTGAACGTTTTAAGAGCTATAATATCTTGGTGATATATTTTGAAAACACTGAGAGCAAGTTAGTAGTAAAAGCTGTGATAGCCCAATGGTTTGATCTACCGGCTCCCAAGTAGAAGCCGTGGGTTCGAATTCGTATTCGTACCACTAACTTACTAGGTATTTACGTGCGAAATTTAATTTGAAATTTATCATGAGCTTTCCGGTGAAGGAAAACATCGTGATGAAACCTGCTCGTTAAAGAAGGTTCACAGCCCGCGGAAAACGTGTGAAGTCGCCAACCCGCATTGGGCCAGCGTGGTGGACAAAGACTTAAACCCTCACCTGAGAGGAGACCCGTGTCCAGCAGTGAGCCGTATAAATGGGTCGATGATGGTGACGAGAGAAAGTTAGTAATACAATATTTTGAAAAGTGAAAAAGTCATTTATTCCATAAGTATAATAAATTCACACTTGGAAGCGTAATTTTTTAAGCTACTGCTCATTCACTGTGCTGATTTATCTCAAAAGAACAAGCTAGAAACTCTAGGGGTTGTTATGTTCAAATAAACTTCAATACACTCTTATTCAAAATTGTGTGCAATGTAGAGTCATAGCCAGCCATCTTTCGACACATCTTTATCTAACACGTAGTCTTCAATTTTGTAATATGACTTTTAAAATACTTGTAATGTTAGTTTTAACTTTAGGAAATGATAATCTTAATATATGCTCCGGAAACTTATTATAAAAACGTATACAGTTCCACATAAAAGAATCGTTTTACCTTAGAACGAAACCATGGTATCATGACTTAATAATAATAATATTATAATAATAACGCTCACTCAACATAGCCCCGCACTAGGGAAACCCTGTGTCGCGGGTGCCATGGATACACACATAGACAACCACAAATTACACCCAAATTCACGAGAGAAATAAATGTAGGCCATACAAACATTTCTCCCGGCCCGGGAATCGAACCTGGGACCTCTGCGTCGCATTCCGGCATGGTAACCGTTCGGCCACAGAGGCAGTGACTTACTTCATGACTTACACTTAGTTCTAAGGTTAGTGTTATGGATATTTACTTTCTTAATTAAATTATGTATATTTTTACAGGCATACAAAATATTTGAGTAAATGTACTGTAATCCCACAGTCATGA